ATAAGTAAAATTTTGAAATAAGAATAATTTACAACAGAACAAATTTTTGTTTAAAAGTAATTTTAAAATATTTATTAGAACTTTGTTCTATTGATGAGACACAATTTTAAATGTGTGAAAATTCTTTTAAATTTGATTGGAGATACTGCATTTTTTTAAAATCTAAAGATGATGTATATATTGTTAATTTTCCAATATATTACAATGTTTTATCAAATAAAGTGCCAAATTATTGGGCTATTATAAGGCTAAGTTAAAGATTAGAAACTAATTAATTTGTTTAGAGTTAGGCAGTTATGCTACCATCTCATGTTAATTTTAATAATTATAACAAATTAATTTTTAATTCTAAATTTTCTGTATGGAAAGAATTGGTCTGAAGTGGGTCTTGAAACCACAACTCTCACTTACTGTGCAGATGCATTACCAGTTATGCTATGAGGGTCGTCCCAGAAGTACCTGACCTGACATATAGATGGCAATAGTTGTTTAAAAAAATTACTCTGTTCAAAAGTACCAACCTTATAATGCTTAAGTTTGAAGTTTGAAGATGCTACATTGTTGTTTGATAGCTATCAATAGTGAACGATCTCAGTTAATTTGTAAACATGGAAAAAATTGGTCATTGTTATGTGATACAATACTGCCATTTGAAAGGTCTCAGTCCAACCAATATTAAAGCTAGATTCTACTCTGGGGGAGTCTGTTCCCTCATTTACAATAATAAAACATTGGGTGGCAAAGTTTAAACGAGGCTGTATGAGCTGCCAAGACGAACATCGCAGTGATCTACCAAATGAGGTGACCATACCAGAAATGGTGAAAAAAATCCACAAAATGGTTGACCGTTGACTCAAAGTGCGAGAGCTAGTAGACATGGTATGCATTTCAAAAAGTGCTGTATATCACATTTTGACTGAAAATTTGGACATGAGAAAGCTGTGTGCAAGATGGGTGTCACGTTTGCTCACACTGGAACAAAAACAGCATCATGAGGATGTTCCAATCAAGTGTTTGGCGATGTTTTGCAGCAATAAAGCAGAGTTTTTGCGTTGATTCATAAACATGGATGAAACATGGGTCCATCACTTCAGACGAAAGAACAGTCAAAACAATGGACTGAAAGGGAGAATCAACTTCGAAGAAGGTAAAGACAGTTCTGTCTGCTGGCAAGGTCATGGCATCAGTTTTTTGGGATGAGTGTGGGATAATTTTCTTTGATTATATTCAAAAAAGAAAAACAATCAACAGCAAGTATTATCCAAACTTATTGCAGCGCTTGAGTGATGAAATCAAGAAAAAACAGCTGCATTTGGCAAAAAAGAGTGTTGTTTTATCAAGACAATGCACCAGTTCACACATCCATTATCGCAGTGGCCAAAATCAATGAGTTAAGGTTTGAATTGCTTCCTCACGCACCCTATTTGCCAGACTTAGCCTCCCCGGATTATTTTTCTTTCCAAACTTGAAAAAATGGCTCAGTGGTAAAAGATTTGCCAACAATGAAGAGGTGGAGTTTGCAGTTGATGGCTATTTTGAGAAGCTTGACGGTTCTCACTATAAACAGGGTATCGAAGCTATTGAACATTGCTAAGAAAAGTATATTGAGCTAAAAAGGAGACTGTGTTGAGAAATAAAGATATGTTTTCTCAAATTTCTTGTGTCTTCTTTGTTAGGTTGGGTACTTCTGGGACTACTCTCGTATCTATCAGTTTAACTAATAAATCGGGTTGTTGATATGTGTGTTTTTTCTGTCTTCTGTACTATTCAAATGCTACAAAAGGTAGATGGTAAAAATAGATGAGAAATAAAATTGGAAGTTCTATTCTAAATACATTTTGAATTTAAATATATTAATATTCTGTTTGAAATAAATAAATAACTTCAAAAAATCTTTAATAAATTATGTAACTTGTAGAGCAGAGACTTAGGAGCAGAGCTACATGATTTCTATCCTATGAAAGCTTAAAATGATTATTTAAGGTACATAATATTTGAAACTTTCAGTATATTTAAATTTAAAAAAAAATTGTAAATCTTTTTCAGATTGCCTTTGTTTCTGATGAGGGAAAATGCAAATTTTTCAGTAGAGATGTGAATAATATGCTACTGAGGTAATCATATTCACAGCTTAATTTTTTGTAAATGTAAAGATAGATAGATAGATAGATGTAAAACTGTATTATTGTTTTTCAGTGTTGAATTAAAATCTAGAGAATTACCATGTAGTCAGCGATCAATGATATATTCCCATTTAGCTTCACACTTGCCGTGCACTAAAGAAACTTTATTGAAACGAGCCAAAAAATTACGTATGGATCAAGAAATGGAAAAATTGAGAGAACCCTTAAATAGGTTAAAAGAAGGTAAGTGAATATAAAGTCTAGTTTTTATAAATTTTGTAGTGAAATTTTTTATAAATGTGATTGTATGCATAAGTTGGAAAATTTATTTAAATTATGTTTATTTATGCATATAGAAACAAGTCTTGGAATATATTTGATGCATAGACTGATAGTCTTGCTTGAATTGTATATTTTTAATGAAGCTTAAAGTTTATTTTAATTTTTTTAAAAATATTTAACGAATTTCTCATGTGTCTTTTCACTTAATCATTTTTAATTTTCATTAATAATTCAAAATTTTATCTTTAACATTATTAAATCTACATCTTTTGCATTATTAAATGAAAAATTTAATATTGAACGTATGGTACAAAGTTATTTTACAAATTTTCAATTTATTATAATCACTTTAGTCATCTTTTGCATTAATTTTTTGCATTTCTTAATATGGAAATCATTTCCAGTCTACAAAATTTTTTTTAATGTTATGTTATGGTTTTAATTTTGAATTCATGTCTGTGTAATCTTCATTCATTACATTGCAAATTGTTTGTTAATTCAAGTTATGTAAGTTTTATCAACTTTAATTTATGGTACTAATTGATGATATGCTAATTATTATAGGTAGATAAATATAATCTTATCTAACATGTCTTGTAAATTGCCAATTTAAAAATCTTGTTTATATCAATTTGAATAAATTGATGATGATATTTACGAGATTTAATATCACTACCCAATGAAAAATTTTTTGTGTCTCGGGAATTAAAATATGTTGTTTTTCTCGGAGATAAAATCCTCTTTGATTTCAAAAATCACCTGTAAATTTTTCTGTTTTTCAAGGGTCAAAAGATACAGACACATCTTTATATAGTGATAAACATGTAGAATAGCATACAGTATGTATATATGAAAATTATTGTAATATGATTTTATGTCTTTATTTACACTTTTTGAACATGTCAGATATAATAGGTTGGGAATCTGTTTATATATGGAACATTGACCATGTTTCAATCCTGGAAGATATCAAAAACCTTGTACCAAAAGCGGCTGATATACAAGCTGAGCTGCAATAACCATACTGTGATATATACATTACTAAGCAACTTAAATATTAAACACATGCAAACATTTTAAAAGTGTACATAAACTTATCTTTAAAAATGTTGTTTGGATATTGATATTTGTTTTTTTCTAATAGTTCTATTTATCCTTTGTCACAAAAAAAAATCCAGCAATAGTCTCCCAACATTTCTATATCTATGCAGCTTTGGTATTTCTTTTCCTTGGTTGAAATAGCTTGGTGAAACTATTTACCATGTTTGTCATTACCATTTTCAAGATTTTTGGAAAAATGTTTATTTTATTGAAACACCATCTGTTGAAGTGATCTCAACATACTGTTCCAAAACCTAGCAATGAAGCTTGGTTTTGGTTTAAAATGCTTTAAACAATATGTTCAGTTTAGGAATGTATTGAATCAATTTCAAGTCTCAGCTGCTTGTTTTACATTATTGAAAGTGCTTCCTGTGGTATTAATTTCTAGAACTGGGGGTGTTAAACCATCTAATTTACATTGGTAAATGCACAAATACTTAATATAAATGCTTCAATATCTGAAAACTGTAACATGATGTAACATTTGTTTTACTAATTTTTGAAATGTAGGTATTGGAATTGATAAGAAATCGCTCATAAAAAAATCATATTGGGTAGTGTTTTTTTAAGAATGTCTAAAATAAATAATTTATCAAATTCTACATGTTAATTTTGTTAACTTTTTGCAAGTTTTTGTTAGTATTACTTTGATTACTATGCCAAATTAAAAAAGATATGCAATATATGAGATGAGCAACTGCATTCAGATAAATTTCACTCAGTATCTGTTTCTCATCATTAGTGATGATTGACTAGTATCTTCTAATTACTCAAAAATAGTTGAAGTGACTTAGGTTTTCAGAGATATTAGTAAATGATCAACGTAAAATACCTTACATTTCTCAAAGGATAATTGAAAAATATTGTTTTTTTTTCCTCTAAGATTTTCTGAAACTCTTGCAAGCAAATCCCATTTATGCTTAAGTTGAAGTGAGAAAGTCTTTAAGATAGGAACAAATATAGACTATTGAGATATGTGCATTGTATAATACCATTCAAAAACAACATTTTACTCTATGAAAGCATTTTATTTCCTGAAAATGGACCATGTTATTTTATATATCTTATTGAAATTTAATCATTTTGTTTTTCAGTATTTACAGATGGACTTGTACAGTACCATAATTTAGTCATTATTACATCAAATTGGATCTTTCTTGAGATGAATGTGCTGATTAACACAAATATTAACTTATTGTTCTTTAATATCTAAATGAGAAAGTTATCTTCTCATTCAGAGTTCTAATTGAGATGCTGTTATAACCAAAAGTAAATTTTGAAGAGGAGAGTGTGAATGAAACCTTGAATGTGAAATTTATGATGATTAATTTATTCAAAAATGGATGTAAATAACATTTTACAATTACAAAAATGTTGATAAGTTGAGATAGGGTTTTGTAGTACTTGGTAAAATGTAACAGTCTTATCAGAAATTCTTGTCCTTAGAAGTTAATTTTGGGCCTGCCTTCAGCATTCTTTTGATTCCTAAAGCAAGAACTTAAAAATTAAAATCTTGCAAGATATTGTCTCTACAATTTTTCTCTCTCTGTTGCCATCAACTAATGAACAGAATTATATGACCAAAATGCTCCAGTCACTTCATTCACATGATACTATCTAATAATTGCTAGATGTTTCATCTATTTTGTTTATTTTAGAATAAATTACACTATGATTTCTGTTATACAAACTGATGTCCAATTTGTTTTTCTTGATCATCTGTAGATAGCCAAACCAATGTATTGATTTGTCAAAATGTTTTTGATATATCAGTTTCAATTTTATTTTAGTGTTGTTGAAACTTTTAAAATTTTTACTGTTTTTAATTTCTCTGAATAGTTTACATCTTATCTAATTATCAATATAATTATTTCGCAATAAATTAATATTAAAATCAATTCATTATATTTCAGCTATAGGAAAAATTTTACCAGGAATATTAGACAAATATATTACTGACTGCAAACTTGTAGAAACTAAGTAAGTTATCAAATGGATAATTTTTGATCAGAGAAATTTTAATGTAATAGTTGAATCTTTATTAAGATTAGAGAATGAGAAAGAGAAGAAAGGTGAGGAAAATAATGAAAACGACAAAGAAAAATCTGCGAAGTTTCCACAGAAAGAATTTCAGTGGAATGATGAAATTAGGTATAAGTTTGGAAATGAAAATTTCTATTAGTTTTAGTTTCAAACTTTAGACTTATGCTTGACTCAATTATTCTAGTTTATATTTTAAGATGCTCAATTATTAATTTTCAGAAAATTGTTGTGTGATTTGGTAAGAACTAAAGTAAGATGGTACGAAACATCTAAAGTTCGTAATCAGTCTGCTGAAGAATATATTTGGCAGTTCTTAGAATCAGAAGTAAAGGAACTTTGGCCTGCAGGATGGATGAAAACTAAGTAAAATTTTTGTCCACATCATTTATAAAATATTATTTTGAATGTGTCACTTTACTTTATTCAAATACAATTTTTAATATATTTGAATAAAATTATTTCCTCAGCCATCTTAACTTTTTAAATTTAATTATGATGATTGTTTTAATTAAAATTATGTACAGAGATAAATTCACTGATTTTTGAATATTTCAGGCATTTATATAAAGAAAGCAAAGAAGCTCATGGTTATTTAACGTAAGTAATTATTTTTTAATACATACAATTAAAAAGACTACAAAATAAAAAAATCTTTTTTTTAAATTTCTATATAATTTTACACAATTTATTACTGTGTATGTAAGAAAAATAATTTTATACTGTACACAACTAGTTTTATTTATTTACATCATAAAATTTTTTTCACAAATTTTATTTATGTAAGATACAATAGTAGAGAAATCACTATAAAAATAACTACATATATTTTATGATGAAGAATAATGATTATTAAAATATTAAATTTACTTTTAGCCACTTATGTTTTGAAATAGTTTCAAAATAAATTTTTCTTTTTTCTTCCTTAAAAAATGAACTTGAAATAACTTGTAAGACATTAGAATTTTTATTTTCTTTTTACAAATTTTTATAATTTTATATAATTGATTGGGTAATGTTGAAGTTTTTTCTCTCAAAAATTTGACTGCATTAAGTGCACCATTTTTTATGTTTATATAATGCCTTTCCTTTAACTTTTATTTATTTATTTAATGAAAGTTTGCACTTTTTATTATTTAGCATAAATTTTCTTTTATTACAAACTTACCATACAGAACTTTTTAGCTAAATGGCAAAAAGTAGACTTTATTTGTTACAGAACTTTGTTTAGTTCTTCTAAAACAAATAGTCTATTTTTTTACCATTTGCCTGAAAAGTTTCTGTATGATAAGTTTGTAATAAAAGAAAATTATGCTAAATGAAAACAATAGAACAAGAAGGTATAGAAACAAAGTTCAAACAGTTATTAGCAGGTTAACATTATTAATTTTGAAAAAACGAAAAATATTTTGTATTTTGAGATGAAAACCTTAGAGAAGTTATGAGACTTTATTCCAAAATTAGTGATCTGCCACCAATGTCAGTGTTTAGTTCATTCATTGTTAAAATATTAATGCATATTTATATACACATTTTTCATTAAATTTAGATAAATAATTTCAATTTATAGGTTCTTGAAATTTAAGAAAACTGTAGTGTTCTATTCTGTAATACTGTCATAATTTTTTATTTTTGTAATTCCAAAATGTAACGTTCAAAAAGTTTAAAAAAAGATTGCAGTTATCGATCATTATGTAAAATAAATCTAGTCTATATTTCTGATTTTTTTTTTAATGCTACAAAGATCATTGTGATGTGATTATTACAAAAATTGCATTACTATTACATAATATTAATACATAATCAAATATAAATCAATTATCCTTTAAGGCAGTGGTCCCCAACTCCTGGGCCACGGACTGGTACCGGTCCGTTGATCAAATGGTACTGGGTCGCCCAAGGAACATTAAATTATTTCCATTTTATTTACTATGGTTTATTTGTCTTGGGTTTGTGCGACTTTTAGTAGACAACGGAACAACGGAATAAACTGGACATAAGAAACACACTTCGGGTGTCATTGTCTCCTATTACCCCCAGATGGAACTGTCTTGTTGCAAAGAAACAAGCTCAGGGTTCTCATTGATTTAGCGTTCTAGTGAGTTAAAATGTTAAATCACATTATATTCATTTTTTGGTGTAACTGTATTTTATTTTGAAGGCATGTTTAAATAGTTAAATTAAAATTATTAAATTAAATCAATCTAAAATATGAACAATCAACATCCCCCCTCAGTGGGCCGCGGTAAAGTTATCAAACGTTGACCGGTCCGTGGCGATAAAAAGGTTGGGGACCGCTGCTTTAAGGTAATTGATTTATGTTTGATTAAAATTTCAATTTTTTATGTTTATTTGCTTATTTATTATTGCTATAAATACGGATAATGTCATATTATTTAAACAGAAAATTATGTAAAATTTAAACAAACAATTTGTAATAATAATTCAGTAAAAGGAAAGGTGTAAATAAAAGAGAAAATGTAAATTACAATGTAAACATATATAAAGTAGTATAAAATGTTTTACTGAATTATTTCAACTAAAATATGAGTTACACTACAACTTTTACAGTATATAAGATATAGAAAATATTGATTTTGTTTCTAAAGATGTGATAGGATCATTTGTCTGAAATAGCTGAATCAAATAGGACATTAATGATATACAGTATTAAACTATGATGCAGTTGAACAACAAACCTTTTGGATTGAGGTGCTTTAGGCTCTCATCTACTTACATAACCCACAATCTAAATTGTGATATAACAAATATGAAATCATAAAACCTAAAAATATCTAGCATTTTTGTATAAAAGAAGAGAAATAATGGCTTAAACTATCCTCAGTTTATAAAGGAAAAAATGAATATAATTATCATCATTGTGAAGGAATGCAATAAGGTTACTGTTCAGTTTACAAAGATAGCTAAGATATTTGAATTTTTTTAGTATAGAATCAATAATATATTTGATATTTATTTTTCTTCTGATCACTTGGTTGTAATTTTATAATATTGAAACTGAAAAATGTATGTTGGGAAGATAGAGTATTCTTTACTAAATAAACTTATCGAGTTTGAAGCTTGAAAATCATTACTTCTTTAGGAGATATATTGTATTGATCTCATTGCATGGAAATTCTTGTTTAATGGAGAGAATTAATGAGGAAAAAGAACAAAATAGAGAGGATTAATGTCGTTAAGAAATTAACCCTTTTTTTTATACCCATGTACTTAGAATATTAAGGTTAATAAAAAACTAACAGTAATAAAAAATATTTAAAAAAATATTTTTACATAGTTTAAATTGTTGATTATAAAATATTTTATTTTTTGATATTTTTCTTGTATATGAATTAAGTAAGTGTTATTTGTTTATGTACTAAATTAACTTTTTAAAAAATGTTTAATTATTACCTTTCTTTATTGCATAATGTATGTATTGGAATTGGTAAAAACTTATATTGTTTAATTATCCTCTGAGCTAGCATAATAATAGATCTTTATTACTTTCTTTTATGTGTTACTTGAATTTATATTTCATGAATTTCTTAGTGTGAAGTATTTACTAAACTTTATAGATAGATAATTAAATTTTACAAATGAACTATATTATAAAAAATAATAAATAAAAATTGTAAGTTTCACTAATAGTATCAAATTTAAATGTTATTTTAGGAACAAACCAAAGAAGCCTATGTTAGTTCAAAGAAAACCAGGAATTCCCTTAGGGATCCAAGTTCCTGTTGTTCCTGCGGGTCGTCTGTCTTCAAGTGTTGTTCTCTCTCCAATTGCAACGGGCCAAGAATTAGCAGAGGGTATGTCAAACATGAAGGTTCCTACTACATCAGGTGATGATGGAGAGAGTTTGGGTACATTGATTGCAGTAACAACTGCAAACAGTGCCTTATCTGAAGAACAGAAACCCCATATTCTACCAGAAGTTTCTTCTGTGCTACCTTCACGTGCTATCAGTGTAGTGACAAGTTCTGTTCCATTGCAGCAAAGTGATAAAGAAGCTCCTTCATCAACTGTTAGTGCCAAATCCAATGTTTCATCTGAAATAAAGAATACTGGTCATACTGTTCAGGAGAATAAATCTAGCATATCTTTAAGTCAGATAGGTTCTCCTAGTAAACGAATCTTCACTTTAATTAATTCGGGCGATGCTGCCCAATTACAAGCTCAACAAGCTTCGCAGCAAACTTCACTAGCTTCACAAATGTTAGATCGTATTATTTGTGCTAGCTTAGCAAATTTTCCAAATTCGGGTTCTTCTACTACTGAACCCGGACGATACAAACCACTGAGCATAGGTAGAGACCTGAATGCTACAGAACAAAATGTTCGTCCATCACCTAAGAGTGCTTTAGAAGTATCACAACCTAAATTGGATTGTGTGTCAGTAAAACCTCCATCCCCTGCCAAAGTAGATACTCAGGTTGGCAGCCCAAGTACTTTAATTCGATCACCTTCTATTGGTGTTAGCATTTTAAAATCATCTTATCAATCTCCCACTGAACAGAGGCAAATTCATGGGAGAACAACCTCACTGCCAGAACAAACTAAAGGATTAACAACAACACTAGTTGGCAATACTAGTGTATCTTCTAGGAAATTCCAATCAATACCTGTTACAACTTCTGCAAATACTGTTAATACTAGAAAAACTGAGGAACTGAAAATGCCATTTCATTCTTATGAATTTTTAGAAGCATTCAAACGTACACTTGAAAGTTCTCCTGAGCCTTTACAACCTAGAAGTGAATCTTCTACTGTGCTTTCTAGTTCTAAAGTAAAAACTGCTTTGTCAGAGAATACTAGAGAACTTTGTGATGAACCAATGAACTTCAAGAAATTACAAAGTTCTGTAGATAGTGTTTCTTCCCTGATACCTCAGGATTTTTCTTCCAAACAAGATAATCCAACAGTAGTGCATTTGTCAGGTACCTATAAGCGTTCTAATCCACAGGTACGAAGTATGCAATTGACTAATTCTCTTAGAGTTCAGCGATCCTCTCCAGAAACTGTTTCTACTCCAGTATCATTTCCAGAAGGAATGAAAGGTTTTCCTCTTCCCATAAAATCACAAAGTACAAATCCTTCTTGTATAAGCTCATTATCAACAACTAATCCCACGCATGGATTAGTCAGTCGAACGTCACCGGCACAAGCTCACGAACCTGGATTTACCAGTCCCCACAGGCATAATTCACCATCTCCTCATCGTTCTGTAAGTGCTCATAGTCCCAGTCATGGACATCCATCATCCGCTGGAAACAGTGCAAGTCATAATCCATACCAATCAACACCTCTTTCACATTATCCTCCAGTAGAAACTACTCATAATCGTACAATGGTAAGGAAAGTAATGAAATTGTTATAAATTTATTTACTTAATTAAAATATTTATATATTAAGATTTGTAATTACATGTTTGAAAAGTACTTTTAATATTTAACTTGCAAAGGAGTATTTGAAAGATTTATATTGAGTTGGTCTTTACTATGTAAGAAACATTAAATTTTGCTTATTTGAGCTAATTAATATTGTTTTTCTACTTCATTATATTGTATCTCTTCTTTCATATTTATATAAAAAATTATATTTTGGTGTAAAGAATGATAAAAGTTTTAATTCTAAGCAAAAGGCTAAATCTTCAGGATAGTGAGCAGTTTCATAAAATATTTAAATGCTAATAATGAATAACATCTTCATTAAGTCCAATTATTCTCAAGATATGACACATTAATCACCATCTCCTCACCTTCTTGACATTTAACCACCAAACTTTAATAGCATCAATGCCTCTTATACTCAAGCTGACATGCAAAATTTTTTCTTTATCATTACACCATACTGAGATATTAAATGAAATGGACACCAAACACGCACACAGATTTTTTTTTTTTTTACTGTCTTTGGTTCTGGAGGTCTCAAAACTTTGAGATTTGCAAAAAAAAAAATTTGAGTCAAATTTGACCTGAGTACAGTGCTTTTCCTTGTTATGTATATGTTACTGTGAATAATTGATATCTGGCAAATGTCAACATTCTCCGGTGAATGTCAGCATTCACACAGTCGTTTCGTATATGTACGAAATATTTGCTAAATATCATTATTTCTCACTTACACAGGCAAATGTCGACATTCAGCATGCAATGATGAATGTCGACATTTGGCATGCAATGATGGTGAATGCTGAATAAAAATATTTTTATTATGTTTTAAAACAAAAATGCAACTTTTTAATATGTCAAAATAGGAGAAAGCTTAACCCTTTTATTACTGTTTGCAATGCCCCTTTGTTTAGTGTATTTTCTAAAAGGGCCAAGGGCAATATAGGTCAGACAAGGTCAGACAGGTGATATTATTTTAAAAATTCACCAAAAATCAAGTTATCGTTATATTCATATGACAAAATCACGTTACATTTATTAATATCTGTAGTTATAAATACGATATTTTTAAATACATTTCAATAAAAAATTCAATAGAAAAAAAATTATAATATATCAGAACTGACATCTAACTGTGAAAATTTGTAACATTTTGTTAAAATTTATATACTAGGGTTAAGTAGTTTGTTCTTGGCACTAAGCCAGAAAGACTTGAAATATTGTTCTGTATGATTCTGCATAACATTTATGAATGTACGATTTTTCGTTTTAAAATTATCACAGATTATATAAATGCTTTGTTTGGAATCAAAACTTTATTTTGCTATCAATTAATATTAGGAACTAATATACTTTATTGACTTTATTTCGAACAAAAATATAAATTTTTGTAATAAACATGTAAACCAGTAGTAATACATTTACCATGTGCTAATATTTTAGATTAAATAAAAAAATAAAACATATATAAAATATCAGAATTGAAGGTCACAATTTAAATATTTATAATATGTTGACTTATTATAACCGAATAAACTTATTATAGCATGAATGAACGTATTTTAGTAATATTATTATGTAAATATGCTATAAATAGAATAAAAAATTATCAAAAGATATATAAATTAAGAAAAAAAAATCACTAAATAAAAATTTTTGAGTCAACAAAACAACACCTGGACAAAAATATGTGAAACAGATGGTAGACAACACACTACTGTCAAGTGCTGGCATCTGTTGTCAATAAATTTCATTAAAATCGATTTTTGGCAGGGTAACGATGAATTGGTACTCTGATCTATTGTCATAACAGTGGGGGTGCGACAGATCGATACCACGGTTGTAAGAAGGTTAAGAAGCACATGTAAATAAACTGTTGAATCTAAAACGAACAGTACATTCTAAATCCTTAAAGAAAATAATACAATAATAAACTTACATATAAATTATGTGATTAACATTATACAATCTTACTTATTGCAACAACTTAAACTGTTATGGCACTTTGAATTGCACAAGAGTCCCTTGCTTTTATAACTGCATTTATTCATGGAACACTTCTTTTTGCAATGACAGCATGTATATCCTCCTTGCCCGCCACTTTTCGAATTAGCTGCAGCTGCTTCTCTCTCTCAGTGATATTTCTTGAGAAGAAATCTCATCTACGAAAAGTAACTTTTCTTTACAAATTATGAACTGATTACATTATTACGAACTGATCTGTTAATGGTGTCTTTTATTCGGATATCGCCGATGCCTTACCGATGACCCCTCTCATCCTCCGCCACTCGACCTGACAAACCGATCCCCCACCTCACGGGATCAAAAGAACAAAAAATGCCATCCAGTGACAAAGTGGGCGGTTTCCACCAAACCGTTGCCTGGAAGGCAACGGTTTGGTGGAAACCGCCCACTTTGACACTGGATGGCGTTTTTGTTCTTTTCAACGGTTTGTCAGGTCGAGTGGCGG